CCCCCCCCTCTCCCTCTCTCTCTCTCTCCAAACAAACGGGAATACCTGCACACCAACACCAGCCCATGTGTTTCCAGCAGGTTGCATGCTGTGATTTGTACCAGCATTGACCCCACTTCCATTCCCCCCAACGAGGAGGGAGGGAGGGGAAATTCAACGTGGTTTTGGAATCCTGTTCAGTTAATAGTAGGTTGGCTTGTAAAAGAAATTTTGGTTAATTAATCTGAAATGGTACGAGGCTACATTAGAAGTAATGTGCTGTTGGTGCTTTCAGAATTATTTGGACTTTTGTAATAAGGATTGACTGGTATTGTGTAATGTGGGGTGCAGGTATTTAGATTGGATTATTTTGTTTATGATAATCTGTATTGGTCCATCACTGCTTCCTGTACATTCTGCAGGCTGCTGAGTCAAAGATAGTGAACTATGATCTAGAAATATCAACCTTAAAGCTCCAAATCAAGGAGTTGGGCCAGAAGTTAGAGAGTGCGAATGCTCATGCTCAATCATATGAAAGAGAAGCTAGGATGCTGGAACAGGAAAAATTTCACCTGGAGCAGAAGTACCAATCCGAGTTTAATAGATTTGAGGAAGTCCTGGACAGGTGTAAAGCAGCTGAAAGAGAGGCTAAAAGATCAACTGAGTTGGCTGATAAAGCGAGAGCAGAAGCAGTCACTGCTCAGAAGGAAAAGAGTGAGATTCAACGAATAGCTATGGAAAGATTGGCACAAATTGAGAGGGCTGAGAGGCAACTTGAAAGTTTGGAGAGACAAAAGGCCGACTTAGCTGATGAAGTAGATAGATATCGAGCTGCTGAAATGGATGCTTTGTCTAGAGTTGCTACTCTGGAGGCCAGAGTTGCAGAACGTGAAAAAGAAATTGACTCCGTTTTGGAATCTAACAATCACCAGAGGAAGAGTACAGTTCAGGTACTTGAAAGTCTTCTGGAGAGTGAGCGAGCTGCACATGCCGAAGCAAACAACAGGGCAGAGGCATTGTCTGTTCAGTTGCAAGTTACGCAAGGAAAGCTGGATGAACTTTCACAAGAATTGACTGCTCTTAAATTTAACGACAAAACATTGGACAACAAACGAAGAACTGCTTCCCATAGCAAACGTGGTAGGACGGATGACTATGAAATGGGCTTCGACTCGGTTCAAGATACTGGTGCAAATGACAGAGTAACCAGAGGAAACAAGAGGTCCAAGAGTACAACCAGCCCTCTGAAGTTTTCCAGTCCAGAAGATGGTGGTTCTGTGTTCAAAGGTGATGAACAAACCGATAGCCAACAAACCAATTCGGAGGACTATACTAAGTTTACAATACAGAAACTAAAGCAGGAGCTTACCAAACAAAATTTTGGTGCTGAGCTGCTTCAATTGAAGAATCCCAACAAAAAGGAAATTCTAGCTCTCTATGAGAAATGTGTCCTGCAGAAGTCCTAATTTGGATGATTGATCATTTCTAATATAATGGATAAAAAGTTGATAAGTAGGTAGATTTTCTGAAAAGTTTGATTCGGTTTTAGACTTTTAGTGCAGAGTTGAAAATGGTTTGGTTTTCTCTTGGTTAGATTACTTCGTTTGAGTTTGCTTGTTGCTCTAGGCCAAATATGTTGTAACAAGTGACATCCAAGTGTGTAATGTATTTAGTATTTACTAGGTAAAACACTGTTTTGTGGGCTTGTGTAATTTGTTAACACTGATGCAGGTAGGTAAGGATGTATTTTCTTTGGATAAAACTGTTTGTACACCAGGTGTACGTACTAGGGGTGAACACGGTTCGGTTTGGGCGGTTTGGGGTATATTTTCAACTCAAACCATTTAATGCGGTTTGGAATTTTTTCAAACCAAACCAAACTATTTTATTTTACAAACCAAACCAAACCATTATTTGCGGTTTGGATCGATTTTAATCCACGGTTTACTTATCGATATTATAGTAATATGTTTAAAACGTATTAACATATAAATTTAAACGAGAACTAATTCGGTTTTGTGCGGTTTTTGAAAAAAAAAAACCGCGGGTCCACGTGGACCCCAACCAACGGTTTCCGTTCGGTTTGCGGTTTCGCAGTTTTTTTGTGCAGCCCTAGTACGTACACCTGTCTCACATGAATAGTGTGTACGAATATTTTATAGTGTATGAGACCCCTTTCATGTGAGGGGGGTGTAAAAGATTGTGTGAATGATTATATGTATGTAGCACGATTGATTTTCTTTTGCCATTATAATTTGTTTTTATTTCCTTTTGGTTTTTCTCTTCTCGACAAACATTGGCTTGGAGAATGGCATCAAGGTGGAGTTTAACATCATTTGTTAATGGATTGCTACAGTGACAGGTTCCATGACATTCAAAAATGGGGAGATAAATGTCAACACATGATTGGACAGTTTGAAAAAAAAAAAAAGACACTTAGTCAAGTGCTGCCACCCTACCCTGTCAAATCAAGGAGCATTATTCTTCGTCAATTCAATGTTGTGGCCTTGTGGGTGTTACAAAAGAAACTACTTATCTCGTGAATGTAGTAAATAGCCATTAATTACACGTGGAGCCCAAAACTTTCTTGAATCCGAGGAATTCTGGTTCACATTTGAATTCCAAGTCCCCTTCTCAAATTGGGCTCTTTCATGGCCCAACAACTTCATATTTATTACGCCTTCGAATTCCGTTGGGAATTAATGGACTCAACTTTCGTCAAGGGTTGGTCGACCACTTGGTCCTAGTACATTGAATAGTCACCCAGTTTTTTTAAATAAAAACATATGTAGGTATTAATTTTACGTAAAAATTATCGAGAATCTTTAGTATATTTAATAATCAATATTGTCCTTCAATTTATTAGAAAATTATTCCTTTCTTATCTATTAATATTTTAATAAAAAAATAAAATGTATTTCAAAACGAAAATTCAACACACCAAAGATTTCAAGATATTCAGTAATATAGGAAATTAAAGACCTGCCAATTAATTTATGTAGTCATATGTGAAAACAAAAATTATTTTCTTGTCTTACATTTGTAGAAAAGAATTTTAGTGTTAGAAATTGTCTATATCATTTGGTTGTTGGGAGAATTGATTCAAGTATGAATTTTGAGTTTGTGGTACGGTGTCTTTTTCACTTACAAAAATCAAATTCCATCATTCCACCTTGCTATCAATCATTTATTAAACTCAACCAAAAACTGTTTATCAACCATCAAAATGTCATTAACAGTTAACATGCCCCCCTCGTTACGGTATTGAATAAAGAAGAGAACGAAACTAAAATCTTGTTCACTATATTAATTTCGCGAGCCAAATATGAAAGTTTTATATCGTCCGATCCTTAGTCATCAATAGTGTAAAATGCTGCCTTGGCATCGAGCTTACCAAAGCAACACCCCGGTTGAGGAATCCCTCGTTCGATTGATGGATGCAGTATAATAAAAGAATGTAAAAACCAAGTTCGATACGCCAAAATGTTGCCCAAATATTGATAGTATTAAGAAAACAATATAAGCTCTAGTCGGGTTTTGCCATATGTACATCGGGTTGATGTCTGAGCCCACTAATTTTCTATTAGATGTGGGCCCCCTTTTTGTGAGGGGGTGCACAAACAGTAAACCGTTACCATTAAAGCAGCAACTTCAAACCAACAAACAATTTAAAAAAGCTTTGATTAGATAAAAAGGAATTCACCTATGACAAGGAGCAACTTCAAACCAACAAACAACTGAAAAAACCTTTGATTAGATAAAAAGGAATTCACCTGGTAGGTTCAACAGACAAATCAATGTCGATAAACAGTACATTTAGGTAGTAACACAAACAGAGGTATTAATGCATATGGCTTTTCAATCTTCGGTGTTGGAAAAACTTTGGTGACCGATTCATTACAGCTTTCAGACAGCATCAACTCCTCATTAATTCTTTTACTATGATATTACTACTATACCTCAATCTGTATATGCATCAACTCATGAGGGCCGGAAAGCGTTCATAGCGACCCAAAAATGTATCAACTCCAGTCTGTCAAGCGACACTTCCTCGATCCGACCCATCTTCGTGGTAATAAGGTGTCAATTTGCCATCTTTTGAAGCAGTCTTGGGGAGGTTCCCGGTGCCTATCTCTTGCAACATCTTCACAACACGTCTCATGGAAGGACGGTTTATGGGCAAGGGACTCGTACAGAGGAGGCCTATATTCAGCACTTTGCTTATTTCGTCCTTGAAACAGGAATCAAGTTTTGGATCGATTACATGGTCTAAACCCTTTTGGTCTAATATGGTGCACACCCATTTCACCAGATCCTTTTCGCCATACTCGGGATCGACTGGAAGTTTACCGGTGACTAACTCAAGAATAACCACACCAAAACTGTAGATATCACTCTTCTCGTTCACCCTTAGAGTGTAGGCGTATTCTGTAATGGAAAGTGGAGTAGATTAAATTAAGGATATCATAAATGTGTTACACTAATAAACAATGATAACAACAATAGAAGGGACCCAACAAAAGGATATCCTATAATGATAGCAACTGGTGGATTTTTCGGTGAAGAATTCATTTCAATTGCTAATGCTTATAGATAACTAATCATATCTGGGCTCATTCTTCACCCCCAGAAAATTCAACGTCAGCGCTACAGAATTATTCAATAACACTAGAAACCAAACCTTATTCTGTAGGTTGTCAAAATTTGATAATAAATTATTTTGCATAAAATATCCGTAATTCTAATAATCGATTAGTCCCTACAAGGAATCAAGCAAGCTATACACAACTTGAAAGCGTAAAATTTCTCAGTGTGACTGAAAATATTAACTTACGAACCTGGGGCGATGTAACCACGAGACCCTGCAATGACAGACATGGATTTGGTACCCTTCCCATTCACCTCAACCACCTTGGCTACACCAAAATCTGCAACCCGAGCACCATAATCTGCATCTAACAATATATTATTCGACTTCACATCTCTGTGAACAATCGGAGGCACAGAATCATGATGCAAATACGATAGTCCCTCAGCTGCATCCATGGCTATCTTAAACCTTATCGGCCAATCTAACAATCCGCTCTTGGTGCTATGAAGCAAATCCCCTAAGCTACCATTAGGCATGTATTCGTAAACCAAAAGCTTGCATCCCCTCGTTGAACAACAACACCACAATTTAACAATATTCTTATGCCTGATCTTCCCTAAAGTATCCACCTCCGCATCGAAACCATCTTCTGGAAAATTACCCTTCTCGACATCGATACTGTCATCAGCCAATTTCGAACACCCCCAAAGCTTTTTCACAGCAACTGCCTCGCCATTGCTCAGAACCACCTTGTAAACCTTGCCAGACGACCCACTTCCAATGACATTATCCTCATCAAGAGCATCAAGTATCTCATCCTCACTGAATCCCAATTTATGAAATGACATTAGTGTCCATTTGGATCTATCAATCGACATTTTGGCCTTCTTGAATTTCCTATACTTCAAGTAGAACCACACTACACCCACTGTAAGCACCACTCCAGCAAGCATAAAGATTGATCTCAACATCCAAACATAACCCATGTTCTTGACTTCACTTCTTCCATCACACAAACCCTCTATATCTCCACACAATCCCGGATTCCCCAAAAAACTATCTTTATACATTTTCTTAGCATATAAAGGAGGAATATCGCCAGAGAGGTGATTGTTTGATAAATTAAGCCGATTCAACTTCAAGTTCTGTAACCCAACAGGGATTTTACCAGAAAGTTTATTTTCAGATAAATCTAGATAATTAAGTACTGCCACTTCCCCAATTTCATTCGGAATATTCCCAGAAAATTCATTGTTTGCGAGATTCAACTCATTTAACTTCGTCCACAAATGAATCCCACTTGGAATTTCACCAGACAATTTATTGTCGTGAAGATCTAGCTTTACTAATTGTCCCAGCTTCACTATGCTAACCGGTAAGGACCCCGAAAACTCATTATCATTGCCCGAAAATTCCAATAAATTACCCAAAAAACCAATCTCTTCTGGAATAGTACCAGAAAAGCTGTTCATGGATATTATCAACTGAGATAAATTTGAAGCACCTGCAACAGTTTTTGCAATCCCACCTGAAAATGAGTTGCCAGCGAGCTCCAGCAGCGATACGTGAGGAAGACCCCAAAAACCAGCAGGAACTTCGCCAGAAAGTCTGTTGTGCCCGAACCGTACACGCAATAAGCTATTGCATTCTGCTAGAGCCGCCGGAATTTGGCCGGAAAATGAATTTTCAATCATTAAAACCTCCTCAAGAACACCCTTTGAACACAGATTCTCAGGCATTTCGCCTGAAAACCCGTTCGTTGAAACATCAATCCATCGCAAGGGCGAGTTTTTTCCAAGATTTGGGGGTAATTTACCAGTTAACTGGTTCTGAAAGAGCCTTAACTCATATAAATTAGGCGAATTTGCAATGCTTTCAGGTAATTCACCTTGGAATCTGTTCTCGTACAGGTTGAGTGACCCGAGTGGCAACTCGCACAGCTCGGCCGGGATCAGCCCACTCAAATCGTTCATTGACGCATCTAGCAGCCTCAAGGCTGTCATGTTTGACCATCCAGTACTCGGCAGCTCGCCGGTCAATGAATTGTTGTAGAGCTCAATTTGTACCGCGTTTGTCAACTCCGTGAGTGAACTCGGGATTCCACCCGTTAATGCGTTGATAGCTACATCCAAGTCCGTAAGCCTCCGGAGTTGACCCAGTGACTCTGGGATTTCACCCACCAGATTAGTCTGCGTCAACCATAGTACCTCGAGTTTCGTGAGATTTCCAAGCTCCGGCGGGATCCGGCCTGGTGAAAACGTGTTGTACGAGAGATTCAACTGTTTCAGGGTCGAAATGTTCCCCAAAATTGAGGGAATCGTCCCTCCCAACAAATTCTCCACTAATGAAAGAACCTCAAGATTCTGAAACTTCCCAAAACTTACCGGAATTTCACCGGAAAAGTTATTTCCGGCCAAATCCAGATACTTTAAGTTTGGAAGGTCAGCTAGAGCGCCGGGGAGTTCACCGGTTAAGTAGTTCTGCGACAAATCTAGGTGCTCCAATGACTGACACATGGCAATGTCCACGTCAGAAAGAGTGGAGTTGATGAAATTGTCGTAGAGAGAAACAAAAGTCAGGTTCTTCAACCGGCAGAGAATAGACGGGAAGGGGCCAGAAAGGTTTGAGCTGGAGAGATCAAGCCAGTAGACAGAGCTATTGGTCGAGTCGCAGGTGACTCCATACCAGTTGCAGGGCACGGCATCAAGTGGGTTCCAGTTGGAGAGGACATTGTCGGGGTCGTCAAGGCTGCTCTTCACTTTTTGGAGGTACAGGCCTTCTTGGTTGATGCAGAGCGTTAAAGGTGGCAGCACATGGAGAACGAGGAGGAGAAAGAAGAAGATGGTACGGCGGCGATGGTGGTTGAAAGGCTCCATTCTTGCCGGTGGAGGCAATGCAATTGAAACTTGAAAGCTGTTTTGCTTTGGTGACGCACACACAGAGTTGAAGGGTGTCTGAGAGTGAGTAAAAGATTTGACTTAACTAAGACATCTTTACATTTGAAAGAGACTCGCAATATTTTGTTTATATATATAAAGCCATTGTACGATAGGGCCTCGTTTTTAATTAAAAATTAAAAAGAAATTTGGAAAAAAAAAATAAATAAAAAGAAGACAGAAAGAATTTTGTTTCTTTTATGTTTTTTATGATCCATCAACTAATGGGTCACATTTCATTAATAAATTCAAAATTCTTGTGAAAAAATGTGTTGTAATTGTATATGGTAATTCCATGAACAAGTAAATTACATTCTATCGAGCAATTTTTATCTACTCAAAAATAGAAAATTTGTAGAACAAATTGTCGCAAGCAAAAATTGTCACAATTCAAAAATACATCTTTACACAAAAATTGAGTTCAAACAGGCCCTTAGTAAATTGAACTAGATTGTTCAATTTAATCAAACATATTCCAATATTCTAAATATAACCTTTCAATGATATTTTTTAAGTTGTGTTAAGTCTCTCTCCAAGTAATAGGTCACGTGATCGCCAGCCAAGCAAATTGTCATATGACAACTTCTTCTTGGAGGCGTTGAAATCTTCCACCATCCGGTACAAGGTGATGAGCGATCGACGATGAAGCCATCTATGATTGCCTCGAGCAAATTCATTTTTGAGACATTGAGTGACACCTCATCAACGATAACGTTCGGGTTGACATAACTTCATGTAAATTTTGTCACTTTTCCTGTTCGAGATGCTCAATGGATCCAATCTTTAGCCACATTAGATGGCTTTTGGAGCCAAGGTGATTGGGATCTCGTCCCTATTGCCCTACACGTTGGGTAATGTCAAACTCCAATGGAGTTGTAGGTGAGTAGTCTAAAGAGAAAGGATTATGATACGTATACATAAAAATAGTACAAAAGAAATTACATAAAATGATGTGAAAAGAAAATATTGGATGAGAAATTTGATTGTGTTTTAAACTGACAATGATAAAATATTATGTAACATTATTTAGTACCTTATGTATATGTTGCAAGACCAAAAAGAAATGTTTCATTGAAAAAATATTGTACTAGATAAGATCGAATCGTATAATGTTTTTACCTTGTGGAATTTTATATGAAAGAGAACTATAAACTAACGGTGTTGGGACGTTCACACGTGTGTTGGGACGGGATAGATTCACGAGCCATGGTAATGAAAGTGACTGAGAATGGTGGCTTAACAGATTCGCAAAACATTAGGTAAAAATTTGAAGGATACGGATAAAGACCATACAATGACATTGCCCAACTTAGAAGTTAGAAGGGCACGGATTCACAGATTTTCCCTTTTCCCTCGCTTCAAGCACTAGTGAGAACGACGCCGCATCTTTAACTTTGTTCTTTTTCTTTTTACATTATTTATTTTTTTACCGATTCTAATACAAAAGGTAAAAATAAGAATTGTGGTAACGGGTAATGTATTCGAAATTTCATACATAGCTCAAAATTTATCACGCTTTCTGAGAATAAAATGAAGAAAATTCTCACTTATTTAAGTTTTAGTTCGATCGTAACCAAAATGATATGAAGATGGTAAACCCCTGTTTGGTAGAAATTAAAATTAAAATTAAAATTTCAATTTAAGTCAACGTCACACATTTCATTAATTTTTATTAAAATTTAATTTTAATTCCTACCCAACAGAACTTAAATATGTTGAATTAATTAAAAATTAAATATTAATCAAGAAATTTATGGCATATTCTTTTTGTTAACCTAATCCAATTGACCTAACTAATATATTTCCATGAGTAGGACATGAGTCACCTTCCCCATAGGTTTTTTCTTGTTAACTGAGAAAATTGCCCAAAAATTCTAAAATGCATGTATAGCCCCAAGAATAGTAGAAATTGACCAGTTGCCAGAATCTACTGTAACTCAAACAGTATAGACCACCCCCGTAAAACCTTCTTTTCCATACACGTGGCATTATCGACGTAACAGATTTGACATGTTTACCTATTAGTTATTTTTCTAATGGGACCCTTTCATAAAACGCCAAAACTCATCAGCCCACAGTAGCTCTCAGCCGTCTGATGAAATCTATGATCCAGATTCACTCTAAAATCGTGGATTAAGACACAGAGAATAAGACAAGGGAGGGCACAGTAAATTGGGTGTGCAGAGTTACCAAGAGTCAAAAGGAATCAGTAAAATTTGTTCGCTGGCTGCAGTTCCAAAATTTATTTACCCATTTTCAATACTTTCTGGATATTGTGCAAATTCTAATAATTTAAAATTAATTTGCTTATTTGGTAGCTAACCCTACACACTTGAGAAAGATTTGTACAGCTACTTCTAGCTAGGTCAGACCCTCCTAGAATTATCCATTTTGAGTCGAGTTGTGTTGCACCCACGGACTTGTACTATTTTGAATTTGAACCAAAGTATTTCAACTTTTTTGAAGGAAAAAAAAAATGCATTGAAATAAAATCATTGAATAAAATAAAGTAGGGTTCGATTGAGGAAGCTAGATTGGATGTGATCGAGAGGCTCCGGCCCTTTTTATATGACCAGAGAGTATCCAACGAGATGTGACCAATTCATACGAGTCACATGTCATTACAGTCGACAAGCACGATACGGCTACCCAAAAAAAAAAAGCTAACTTGTAATATTGATAAAAAGTTTGTCTCGATCGTACTTTTCATGTTTTGAATTGTCCGTAACAGGTGCCGTCTAGTACATTCAGGAATCTTTAAAATAACGTTGCAGACAGTTAATGTAAAAAGTCATTCTTTAATAAAATTTGTCTGAAACACGTGAGAAACGAACAAAATGTAACTTTCTACGCTTACACTTTTCTACTTATGATTTTATACGTAGAATTGTTTTTGTGATTGAAGAAAAAGAACAAAGGGACGAACCGAAAGCTTCCTTCAACATCGGTGGAGTATGTCCACAAACCCTTTGGAACATTGCGAAGACTAGAAATGAAAGTAAGTTTGAGTGGGGACTCAACAACAAAATTTCAAATTTGGCGGCTCCATTCTTAATTAAATCAAATCTCATTTCACGTCCTTGTAGATACGAGTTTCTTTAACAATTCGTTTTAATATTATTAATAATAATGATTATTTTTACACTATTGCTTTATATAAAATTATAAATACACCAGGTTTTAACTTTATTCATTATCAGAAACAATACATGTTAATTTGAAAATAAAAATGCAATGAAAAAAATTTGAGACATAAATGCGATAATATGTAAATGTCATGAACTTTTAATACTATATATTAAAATGTTGTACAGTTATTAAAATTGTGGTGTGAATATATTTAACCTATTAATAGTAATATACATATTATTAGGGTTGGACAAAACTCTCGAACAAAATTGGATCAATTCGGACCAAAATCGAACTGAATCGAGCTGTTCTTCTTAAATCGAGAACCAACAAGTTTGATTCGATTTTCGATCTAAACTAAGAATTGAATAAGAATCGAATCTCTCTAATTTTTATTTTAAATAAGTCAAATTATTTATTTTTTGTCTAAATGAATTTGTTAACTAATTAGTTTAGCTCAAACGTAAAATATGATTTTACTATATCTAATTTTCAACCAGCCAAACTTAATCAAATTGACCCAAATTTTACCCAAATCTCATATTCCACCTTAGTGTCGTTTCTGCCGTTCTATTACTGTGAACTGACTATTTTCCACTTCTTGTGATTTTAACAGTCAAATTTATAAAGAACTCAACAAAAGATATCATCAGATTGGGCTATATTGTTTTACAAGAGTTAATGTTGAACATTTCATAGTCGAACTAATGTAGCGTTGTTATAAATATTAAAAAAATAATTATTGTACGAAATTCAGGAACCGAACCCGAACGGTTTCGTAATTAAATTTAGACCCGACGGTTCCACTTACTAAATAACCAAAAATTACAATCCGAATCGGACCATGTCCGGCTCTACCTACTATACTAACTTAAGTGAGAATTCACCAAAATTAGATAGAATAAAGTATATATAAGAGGTATATTAAATATAAGATATTCTCTACTTTAAATTGACGAAATATAAAATGACAATAATTCAAATTAATGCGAGATATTATCTTGTATTGCATATGAAGAATACCCTGAGAAATCACTCCTGGTCGAAGCTGCAAGGTCCAATAAATCTTGCATTCAAAACCTCACCAAAAGAAATTATGATTTCAACTTCAGAAATTAAAATTAATTCTTGGTTGTTGCTGATTTTGCAGTTCAATTATTTTGGTTATTTAAATTACAGGACCCAGAGATGGATTACAGCTGAGGTGCATTTAAGGACTCATCAAATAATTTCTCTTTCCTCTACATCGAGAAATGGACATTTTATTAAAAATTTGATAAAATTTTATATTAATATTAATCATAAATTTAGGAATTGTTTGAGCATAAAATACATTTTTAAATAGTGTTTTTTTGAAAATTGCGTGGTTAAAAAATAAAATTTTTTTTCGATTCACGTATAATATTATTTTATAAAAGATCGTGTTGTTGAAAATGAGTTTCGAAAAAAATGGAACCAGACATATGCTTAATTAATGGGATTCTTATCAATTTTTAACAACACATTTCGTCAATTTTGATCAAAATCTACTAAAAATCTGATTTTTTTAAAACTATGGCCCTATTTCGTCCACATTATTTTTTGCATTCTCATTTTTCAACTCATTTTTAACCACACATTCTTCAATAAAATAATATTTTTCATCGCATCAATAATTTTTCATTCTTTTTCAACCACATATTTCCCATCATATCAATAGTAAAAATGTATTCTTACCTTCAAAATGTGCACCAAATGGGGACTATACCAAACTGTGGCATAATCATTTCATGAGAAAAATGAGCAATTCAATTATTTCCATTTCAATTTCG